ACAGTACAGTCGGGTTTTAGGCGTAGTCACAGCTGTACTGCAGCTCTACTGAAGGTAACCGATGATATTTTCAATGCGAGTGAACGAAATCAATGTACCGTCCTGGCTTTTCTAGATGTCAGCANAGAGAAACAGATAGACTAACAAAATTTGCTTCAACAAAATGTTCCATCCCACAAACTATTAGTCCGACAGCTGTGTTTGTTCACGTGTGTTTGAAGGTTAGAGTTGACTACACATTATATGAATTCGATACTGGTAGCACCATCTGTGTGTTAGCCTACAAATTTTTCAGCCTACCTGACATAAAGCACCAAACAGGTAGAATTTAGTCAGTTTGAATAAGAAACATATGTTGCGGTTTAGTTGTTCCATGGGAAATCTCACAATGAAGTGTTAGTTAAACAAGCTATACGGGTCGTTAGAGGAAAAAATCGCCCTGTGAAAGTGATATAAACGATTCTGAACTATTCGTTCACGAAAGCGAGTTNAGTTGTTTCATGGGAAATCTCACAATGAAGAGTTAGTTAAACAAGCTATACGGGTCGTTAGAGGAAAAAATCGCCCTGTGAAAGTGATATAAACGATTCTGAACTATTCGTTCACGAAAGCGAGTTGCGACGTTTCTGCTTTAGACCTGTTGAAAGCACTGCTGTCATCGTAAATAGAGTGTTCAAACCTCAACCGTCATCGTCAATATCATTTCATGTTTGGAATAACCCCCGAAAGCTGAAACTAAAACGGATAATGAAACATTTGACGCGCGTTGCCATCGATTTGACCTCAGTGGGCCGAGGGGTTGCGAGCAACTGGTAGGGTTATGGGCGGCGTGGCTGCCGCCTCCAAAGTGACGTCACAGGCGACCCGTTTTCAGAAACTCATATTAGGAATTTCAGCAGCCGAGGGGTTTATGGAGTATAATTTGAGGCCTAGCGCTGTTGAATGAACGACTGCAATACACAGTAATATAGTGAAATCTTACGAAAATATAATAATGAAGAATTTATTCCACCTTCAAAGAATTGTTCCTCTGAACTACGAAATTTTCAGATAGAATTCGCAGTACATTAACGAAAATAACGAAATCCGAATATAAATGCATCTCTAGATTTGATCGAGTTACGGCTGAACATGGAGGAACCCTGATACTAAAGAATGTAAATGAAGATATATGCTCATTTGTTAAGGTAGAAAAATTCAGTAATTTGTTGGAGGAGGAAAATTTTGAGTTCTTCTTGTTGTACTGTGACGCGTTTCTGCTGTATGTTCTGTGTATCTATAGAACGCGAGATAGCAATAAAACCCCTTCGGAAGAAATGACCATATTTTTCGAAAAGCTCGAAATACTGCTGACACATCTTCCAATAAATTCGAATATTGTCCTAGCAGGAGATTTGAATATAAATTTTGAAGACAAATCAAATCGTTCCTGTCAGCTTCTAGAACAATTATTAGACTCCTTAAACTTAACCATGCACGTGCAATCCGCAACACATATTTGCCAGAGTACATCTACTACAATAGACTATATCTGTTCTAATTTGGATGAGTCTAAGGTAACCTGTTCAGTGTTGTCAGCATATCTCTCAGATCATGAAGCCGTTCTCAGTACATTCAGCTTCCCTGGTAAAGGCATTTCTAAAAAACATAATATACTTGGGCGTATATTTTCTAAAAACAACTATTGCAAGTTTCAAAAGGCCTGTGATCAGGTCAACTGGAACAGAATCACACATATAAACACATATTTGAATACACTTAGTAACATTTTTGAAAGTGCTTTCCCTATCACCAGAATCCGAAAAAAGATAAGGAAACCTTGGATAACGGAGGGCATCAAAATATCAGCCAAAAATATGCGCTCATTGAACTACATTGAGAAGTTTCATAGAGGAACACCTACAAAATTATTGCAATAGGTACCGAAGTGTATATAACAGTGTCGTAATACAGGCTAAGCTTTCGTATTATCATAATAGGATTAATACTGCCTCCGATATAGCAAATTAGAGCTGGATTATCATAAATGAAATCCGTGGAAAGAGCAGAAATCAAATTGATGAAATCAATTTGAAACCTGACTGTATCAACGATTACTATTGCTCTATCGCAACTAAACTTACTAATGACATTACCACTAATATTCATATTAATCCATTGAGCATCATTGAACATAAAAATGATATTATCTTCTACCCAGCAGAGGTAGCTGTGCGATATGATGATTTTTCTATAAATGTTTCCAATGATACCATTAATAAAATGAAAAAATCCATTATTGAATCTGTTATTACAAGAACGGATTAAAATAGTTTGCTGAATAGTTTGTTCGTTTAAATATTACCACCACCATACATTTTCATTAACAATTTATAAAGTAAAATTCAGTTGTCGAATCCTTCAACTATTCGACAAATTCATGAATTCATACGGGAGTTTTTCCAGCTGAAAGAAAACAACTTCAGTGTCTGTTATTCAAAACTATAAGAAACTGAGGAACCTTCGATCCAATACTTTTACTCCAGTTATTTCAAGGATTTTTCAATACGCTATATTGAAACATTGCTTCATTTCTTGAAAGAAAAGATAAAATTCTAGAAAATCGTCAAGGATTTCGTTCGAGTCGATCCAAAGTTACCACATTTTGCAGTTTTCAAACGAAAATTCTGGGTTCTTTCGGATTGGGCGAGGGCGTGGTTAGAGTATTCTGTGATCTGAGCCGCGCCTTCGTATGAAATTTCAATGAGTAAACTATAGAGTGGGGTTTTCATGACATGCTTCATAATTGGATAACTTTTATCTAACTGGACACTTATAGAAAGTGAAAATAAACCATTAAAAGAATAGAGGAAGAAATACATTTCTCTTTCTTTTTTTGAATATTTCCAAAACGAATTATATACCTTTTTACACTTGACAGAGTGAAAAAAATATTTTTTTTATTGGACGTTGAGTTGGATGATTACGATATAAAAAATTGATAATATGCCACTTTTTTAGGTACGAAAACATAAGGTCTACCAAAAGGAACTTTTGAATTTTGACAAATGATAACGACTATCTTGTTGAAGCTGCATCTGTCAAATTCAGTCTGTTTTGCCAAATCACCATAGACGGATATAGCATTCAACAACACGGGCAAATGACAATTAATTTCACCAAAATGGATGTTCTGTTTGGGCAACGTACTGTGCGCTTCGCTCATTACACGGTCGCCATATTCGTCCCACCGAGAGGGCTATTCGCAATGTGGTGGATGAATTTGAGTTTACTGATTCAGTAAACGATCGACCAACAGCCGCACGTCGACGAAACACAAGATCTGGCGAAAAAATTGCCGTGTCTGTGAGAGTGTGCAGGAGTATCCAAGGCAGTCGGTTTGGAGTCGCTCACAAGAACTCATCCTTTCGCAGACCAAAACTTGGCGAATTTCCGTCATAACTGCACTAGTACAACATTCAAGTGACTCAGGAACTGAACGTCTATTTGCTGAATGGGCTCTGAAGCACTTGGCAACTGACCCTCATTTTCATCGAAAAATCATCTTCAGCGATGAGGATCATTTCTGGAAACAAATTTGTTGACTTTGGGACGATACCAATACACATAAGATCCAAGAGCGTCCAATGCATCTCGAAAAAACAACTGTTTGGTGAGGATTTTGGGCTAGCGGCATCATCGGTCCATATTTCTTTGAAAACGACGTTGGCCAGGCTGTCAATGGCGAGTACTATTGGTGGATTCTCGGTCAGTCAAGCGGTATTGGAAGCTCTTGGCTCCTACCGAGCCACGTCTAAATTGGTGGCCAATTGCCAAAAATGACTCTCTTCGATAGGAAGACTTATCAGATTGTTTCTGGTCTGAATCCCTTGCAGGAGAGGGTTCTGCAAGCAGTTTCAGCGGACCAGAACCTGTCATTGACATCGCTTTAGGCTTTGCCAAACAAAGATTGAACACCTGGATTGCAAGAAAATTTATGGATTTCTGGCAGAATCTTCCAGGATTGGCTCACTCCAAAGCGTTTATTCACTCATCGATGATTGATACCAGACAGAGCCGTACTCTCACCATTTGACCTGAAAGACCACTCACCATACAAACTAATCGGCTTCGGGCGTATTTGGTCGAGTGCGAATAGGTGTGAGCCACAATAAAACCTTGCGGGTTGCGGTGGAGGATCGAGAAGACTCACCCACTTTGGACCTAACCTATCGATGATCACCAATTTATTTTGGCCTGAATTGGATGATCTGAACATCAACGACATGTGGTTTGAATAGGACAGCGCTACGTGCCACAAAATTCATACCACATTATATATTCTCCACGACACGGTCATCTCACGTGGAGGTGATGTGAACTGGCCACTGAGATCATGGGATTTGACTCCGTATGACTTTTTCTTGTCAGGTTTTTCTCAAGTCGCAGGTGTATGCAAATAAGCCACAATTCACAGAGGTCCTCAAAACCAACATAACCCATGCCATCAGTCAAATTCATCCTGATTTACGCGCCAGACTCATGAAATATTGAATGTTAAGGTATGCATCTCACCTCACACGACTTGAGAAACTAGTACAACCAAGCCAATCATTTGGCATATTCGAATGTGACTATATGTGACAATAATAACAATTATAGAATTCTGACAACAGAATTTTTGAATTGCCAGCAGAATAAAAAATCTCTGGGGGGCTGTGTTTGCTAATGCTGTTTGATATTTTATCTATTCACCTTTCCAAATAGAAGGTCTTTTGAAATTTCCATCCAATTTTGAAATACTGACAATCTATGATTTTCCTCAAGATTTGAATTTTGCCAAATGTTGAGCAGTTATTGATTTAGAAAGCACTACATCCACTTTTCATTATCAAAATTCACGAATTTGTTTAAGTCCTACTCTGCATATCGGCACAGTTCATGACGTTTGATTACACGTCATTTTTTTTGTCAAAACTCATACCATAATCTTACTTCGAATACTTGAAATAATAAAGTCTATGACCACCAATATTTATGGCAAGAAAGAAGAAATATTCGGGTACCAAACTTACTGGAGGGAGTTGGGGAATCATTTGTCAAAGCTTGAACTCTACCAAAAGTCTCTCAAGTACTACGATGAGGCAGTTCTCAGAAACCCCACTAACAGGAAGACATTAGTAGCACGAGCAATAGCCCGTGGAAAAACAGGTTTTCATCAAGGTGCAATGGAAGATTTGAAAAATGCTCTGGAAGAGGATCCTTACGAATTGTTCACTTTAGCCAAAAAAGCTCACATAACATACTTGTCGTGTGATTTTGAAGAGGGTCTAATCCAAAATTTGAGACAGTTAGCCACCAGGGGCAAACCTGAAGATTTCTACATAGGAAGAATGAGCTGTTATAGCGCAATAGAAACCTGTCTGGGAGAAGTAGCCGGTAGAGCTTTGAGGAACCACTTTAAAATTATACGGAAACTAGCCTGGAAGAAAGACTGGGAATCCAAGAAACCACCTGAGCCCAACTCAAAAAAGAAGAAAACACCAAAAAAATTGAAAATAACAAAACGCCACTATGAGGCACCTGTAAAAGTAAGTTCGGAATATTTCGACCACAATTCTTCCAAAACAGAATTATTAAGCATAAAGAACAGTATTCATAGCTACAACCGACAGGTCTGTGATGTTCCACCTTACCATGGAAGTGTACATTTCTCGCCCTTACAAAAGTATACAAGCAATCTGAATAAGTACATGGCTTCGAAATACCTAGATATAATATACCACGAAAAATATTTCCTGAAAGACATCCAGAGCGAACCGGGGCTGGTATCGCCCAATCACAAAGGGTACAAGCGTATGAAAGAAATCGCTAGGGATTGTTTCTCTAATATTTGTCATCAGCAAGAGGTACTTAGGGCACGAAGACCATTCTACTATATCAAATATCAAGAAGCGAGTCTATCTGCTTCTCTGAGGGCTAGGCAGGAGGAGGACTTACATCTTCAGCAGCGGCATTTGGAAAGAGAGGCTGAGAAGATCCTTCTGAAACTACGAAACGCTGCTGAGAGAAAGAACTTGAGTGAAATATTGGAAATGGCGGAAAAGCTCAAGCTTTACTGTGACTCAAAAACCAAACGACTCCTTCCAGCTAGAGACGAGTATCTCAAAGAAGTTTTCCAAAAGATGAGAAGAGGCTTCTACGAGCTCAACAGGTTGAACAGTCAGCTAAATAGATGGGACCAGAATAAACGAATTCAAGTAGCTTTGGGACAGCAGGTCAGTAGAACACCATCCCAAGATTCTGTTATAAGTCATTATGAAACATTCCATGCCGACTACAAACAGTACATCAAGGTTTATACGCGTCGCTTGAAAAAAGCAGAAATGGAAGATGAAATCTGTTGCTGTTACCACGAGCTTGCAAGGTTCCACATGGAGCTGAAGCTATTCGAACAAGCCAGAGCAAATGCGAGGAAATGCATCAACACAGGTAAAGATAGAGGCAATCTAGAATGGGAAGTAAACGGGCTGATGTTGCTATCGAGGATTCATATGAGGGAACAGAACAGGAACGACGCAATTGCTGATGTGAAAGAAGCTCTTGGAATTGCCGAGAACTTGATGGACCAGCAGCTTATCCACTATTTGGAGAGATGCTTGGAGGTTATCGAAGACTCCGAATTCCATGAAATGTCTCTGGAGAAGGAGATAGAGAAGAGGGAGAAACGTATAATTGAATTGATAGCTAACCAAAAACTGAGAGAAGAGTTCATTCATCTGTTTGGGCTGATGTCTTCTATGCCGCAAAATAGAAGGATGTCTGTGATGCCGGGTGTGAGATTCAATATTGAGGAGGGGAAGTCTGGAAAGGGAAAGGCTCAGTCAATATTGAAAAGTTCTGCTAGAATATCTACTCATAGTATGATGTCGAGACGATCATCCAAGAGTGGAAAGAGTACACCTAGCACTGGAGAAAGTCTCATGCAACTCATCCAGTTTCATATGTAGGATTTTTAGTTCTAAAATTGTACATTTAGGATACCCTTAGCACTTACGTCTAATAAAATGAACAATCAGTGTATAGCATTTTTATTTTGAGGTAGTGAATGAGAAAAACTAGAATATATTAATGATAAATTTGTCAAGTATACCTAACAAATGATTATCTTGAAAAATACAATGTGGATATCCTGTAAAATGGAGTTCTACAATTAACAAATCAGAAAATTCAATTACCACAGCATTGAGATGTACTCATATTTCCATTGGTAGTCGCTGGAATTCGCTTATGTTCCCAAAATTCTTGTGGTTCTGAAAAATATTTCTACCCATTTCAGGGTTTCATTGGTGATTGTTAAACGTTGTTGCTAATAATATTTTCTCTCAGAAACGAATGGATGAGGTTATCACGAAGTTGTGTTGACGTTTTTTGACATATAAGGATTATGCCAAGTTGGTGACATTTTTTCTGGTAATTGATAGATTCGTTCTGTTGTTCTGTTCTTTACTACTTGGATACTTCATTAGGTACTGTGTGGGGAAGGTGATATACAGAGACACTGATTTCGATTTCAAGATCTAATATTACTTGTGAAATATTTTGAAGGCAGTCAAGAAAGTTGACAGGAAAGCAAATGTGTTTACTCAGCATGATATAAATAATTTCATCTCAAAATTCACATGGAAATGAAAAAAAGTTTCTCATAGACTGTCAATAGTCGGGGTACCCATGAATAATATTTTATGTTAGTGACATCACAATTAACATCTTCTTTTCAATTCATAACATCACGTTTCAGAAAATCATCAGTGTATCGACGATTACTTTGAAAACATTTCAAATCAAAATGAATTTGAGTAGCCTATATTGGTCAACAGATTTACATGAACATTTTAAACGTATGAACTACACCAGTGTACAGAAATCTTATGTAGCATTTACAAAATTATTTCATAAAACAAAAATTGATTTCTACTATTTTTGAATTCATCTAAAAACTCTACGAATCCCTCTTGTTTTCACTCGTTGACTACACATGCCACACAATTTCATGAGTTCAGCTTACGAAAGCTCTTGCTCAAAAGTAGAAAAAGCTTGAAAGTTTGAACGCACAAACAAATATGTATATGAAAGCTTCACTATTCAGTCCTCTTTACCAGGAAAAAATTGGACGATTTAACGTCACTTCTCCTCAATAGTGAGGTCATTTCATTTGGAATGGAGGTGAAATATCTTGGCATTTTTCTTGAACGCTCACTTGTAATTCGTTTTTCACAAAGCCAGACTGTCCCTATGGACTTGTCGAAGGATTTGTGGTGAAACTTGGGGCTGAGTTCCCAAACAAATTGGATTTATGTGATGACTGTCAGATCAATGATCACTTATGGAGCAATTGTCTGGTGGCCGAAGGCTTTACAAAAAACGGCCCAGGCGAAGCTTTCTGTACCACACCGTCAGCAACCATTGAGATTCTTCTAGATCTACCTCCTCTTCACATTTTTCTGGAGAGAGAGGCTAGATGGACTACATGTAGACCTATGCATATCGTCAATTGCACAAATCAATCTAACGGAGTGCCTCGGACAGTCAAACGGGGTTGAAAGCTCTTGACTTCTACCAAGCAACATCTGAAATGGTAGCAAATTGCCAAAAACGAATCTCCTCAATAGAAAGACTGAATAGATTGTCTCTGGTCTGGATTCCTGGTCATCCTGGCCTGGAAGGCAATGAGGCTGCTGAATCCATACAAAGGACGTTGCTGCAAGTGGCTTTATTGGACGAGAACCTGTAATTGGCATTGCTTTAAGCTTTGCCAATCGAACCTTGAACACCTGAATGGCAAGTTTTATGGACTCCTGGCGAAATCTTCCAGGATTGGCTCACTCCAAAGCGTTCATTAACCCTTCGAAGCTTGATACTGAACAGTTGTGGGATTACAGTTGGGATGAACTACGATGCCTAACAAGCCTTCCCACAGGTCACTGTCGTCTGAATCATCACAAGCAGAGACTTGGATTGTTGAAAGACAGTCACCTCTGTTTGTGAAATGGAGAAACAGCAGAACACATAATGTGTGCCTGCCCCGCTGCAGACTGAATCAGGTTTTCAGACTTTGGCAAAGCCGCACCCATATCATTCGACCTGAAAGATTAGTCACCAAATAAACTAATCGGCTTCTTCGAGAAACTGGGTTCATTTGGACAAGTGCGAATAGGTGTGAACCACAATAAACACTTGCGGTTGCAGTGGAGGGTCGAAAAAACCCACTCATCGTTGACTCAACATAACCTAACACATGACAGTCATGTCCATGAGACTATACAGTCCAATTCACAAAAGCTCTTGATCGAAAGTAAATAAAAGCTTGAGAGTTCACACGCACAAACAATTATGTATATGATAGGCAGAAATCTTAGCCGCACAGATGCAGAAGGCTGTCATTCTTGGCTCACTGCGTTTGCTCAGGGCACATGATTCTCGGACCCAATGATCACTAACCCCACGGTGTGGGGAGTGGTCATTGGTTGATTATGCTGGCGCGCCCTCCCGAATGTATCGGGGCTTCGGGGGATAGGGCCTGACCAGCGCACACTACGGTGAAAAAAAAAATAATAGTATACTTCAATCTAGCAGACCACTATTATAATCTTCATGCGGTTATTGTTCACTGTGGTTCTGGCGGTGAATCTGGTCATTATTACACATTGGTCAGAGACGAAACGGACTGGTTTAAGTTTGACGGTGGTCGTGTCACTAAATATTCTGGCAATATCTTGAATTTATTGCATACTCTGGAGACACCCAACATTTCATTTTATGAAAGAGATGACATTGGCAGATCAAGATCTTCAGATGATGTGGTGCTGCAGATTTTTCCGGGTTTTCCTGTAGCTGAAAAAGCAAATGCGCCACTGGAATCAATCAAGTCCACATGTTCTTCAAAATTCCCCTCTATCATACATCAGGGTTTGCCAAATTGTTTCAGTATGTTTGTTAGTATGTTTTCATGGATGTCATGAAAACATACGGTGAATACAGGCACATACGGTGAATACAGCAACATATCCATGCTTGAACTGTCTCCAAGCAGTAGTATATCATTATCCCAGGAGAGAAGCCAGTTGAGCCATACCCAAAAAAAATTTGTTTCATCTCTCTAGACCAGATATTTTTTTCTTCATCATTGTTTTTCAGTAATGAACTATAGTCAGCTGATTGATATAAACTGTATACATTTCATTTTGGGGTATTTTCAAAATCGTAAATCAGAGTTACCTCTCTCGAATGCTTCATTGAAATTATATTGTGATTTTCTCCTAGCTCAGGTCATCAACAACATTATTATCGCACGATTCTGTTTTCTAAGAATCCACTGAGGAGGGTAACTTAGTTTTTTATCGTCTCCCTAATAGTAACTGTGCTGGAGAATGATCTAAACATTTTAGACGAGTATTATTATATTGAAGTAGGACTTCATAGATATCTATCTCTTCTTTCAACGACTTTTCTAATAATTCCACTGAACTCAGATATTTTTTCTTAAATTTTCTCACACTCGACAAACATTCCACAAATCGATCGATCGCACTCCATCTCCTAATAGAATGTTAATTGAAAATCTCCCACTGAAGAACCAACTCAAGTTCCTTCATTAATTTGGGTCATCTTGGCCTGAAAGCATCATCTGGACCCCATTCAATATTGCTAATGACTAATTAGCAATATTGCTAATGACTAATTTCGATATGCGAAGTTTCCTTTCCCAATTCCAAAGTGATTTATCGTCATTGAAAATATTCTACAGAAACTTTCAATGCACTTATGGAGGAACACTGTAAAGTGATTTGTAATTTGATGAAAAAGTTTACTGCTTTTTCGGAACATTTCAGTTGGAATTTTCCAAAGATTATTGGATCATCGAAAAGGTTTTGAGAGTATTCATTATTAAAATGATATACAGGGTGTCCCTGGACTTCCTGTTTTCCTCTCGGGAATGTATAGATGGGGTCAAAATATCACCAGTACTTCATATAACTTTTTTCCTAAAATCCTTCGTTACCAAGTAACGGGCCCTCGAAGTCACAAAATGAAAAATGTTTTTCTTTGATAACTTTTCAAGTGAATATTCAAAATCATCCAAATTTTGGTAATTGACTATGTAGTAAATAATTTCAATAGGCTCGACACGTCTGATTTTAGATAACGAACTAATATCCCCTGTAGCAGTTCGAAAAGGTCGGTGTCTCGGCAATATCGTAGAAGTGTCATAGGTGGATATGCCGAAAGCAAATGTATGTGGGTTTCAGACACCTCGCGATAGGCCCTACTTCTGTACCCATCATGCTATGGTAGACCGAATTTGTTCAAGACAGCATTATTGCAGGCTCGACCTGAGGAAATTCAAGGTCAGGTACTTTGATGAGTTGATTTCGTCCATATACAACACAATAAAATATATTTATTTTCCAAAATGATCATTTTATAATGATATAGGAGTCGTCAATGGTAAAACATAAAGTGTATATATAATAAGTAACGCAACGGCACCGAATTCCGCCCAGTTATGAGTTCCTTACTTTAAATCTCATTAAAGATGATGAAATAATTATGTAATTTCTTGTCAAATTATACATGTCTGAAGTTTGATACGTTTATTTGGAAATAATGGAAATGAAATACTCTATGTGTTTATTTAAGTTTTCTTATTTGCAAATTGAAATATAGGTGCACAAAAATAACACGTACTCCATTTTCCGTCCGAGCTGTGGCAATTTTACGTGAATCCGTCCACTCGAATACCGGATTCCGACCAGCCATGGAGTAAGAAGGAAAAGATGAATTATGTCCTTCTCACGAAGTGATAATTTCGTATAAACAGAAGATCATCACTGGTTTATTAACGAACGTGAATATCACATGAAATTGAAATACGAAACATAACAACATTTCTCATTGATTCAGTATAAAAATAAACTAATATTTTGTACATGTCATGAGTTCAGTGAAA